GTAGGGAAACGAAAGAGAGAGAAAAAAGAAATGGAAACTTGGAGGGGTGAGAAAAACAAAGAAGTACGAGTGAATACATGGGAGAGTTTAAAGGGAAAGCTTTTTTATCGGTGGAGTAATCGACGCGGTGTTGGGTCGTCGCCTCAACGACTGAAAAGCAACAAAAAAAGAAATCACGTTTGTACGCATATATATATATACGATAAACCATTTCTTACATTGTGAACGAGAGAACGCATATACATATATATATATATATACCATATTACAAACACACACGTACACGTACACAAAAATCTAAGAAAAAAAGAGAGAGAGAGAGAGAGAGAGAGAGAGAGAGAGAGAGAGAGAGAGAGAGAGAGACACTCCAATCAACTAGGCTTAGAGAGACGGGGGAGGTTGAACAGAGCTAGAGAGAGGGAGAGGGAGAGCCTCACCGTTTTTTAGCTACTATCCAGACACGCGTTTCTTTTTACTTTTATTACCGTAGAAGAATATTGCTACGTTTTAAAGATATTCGCCCTAGCTGGTAAGGTGAACTGCTACTATTCATTGCTACTACTACTACTACTACTACCTACTATCTACTACCTACTACTACTATTACTACTACTCTTATAGTACTTTTTATTATCGACGCTGTAAAGTAAGGGATAACGAAGCGAGCGGAAACGTTTCTGTTTTCTTTTTCGTCTTCTACTTCTTCTTTCTTCTTTTTATAGGCTGCCAATTTTTCTTCGATAGAAAGAGAGACAGGGAAGAGGAGAGAGTTGATCAATGGTAAAGATAGATAGAGAAAGTGTGAGAAAGATAGAGAGAATGATGAAAAATTTCAAAGTATGAGAGAGATTAAATAATGGTGTGTGGTGGCAGAGACGCGAAACGGGGGAGGGGGGGACGAAGAGTTCTTAGTTAAATCGTTTTAGGGGGTCGCGGCGGACACGAGGCCCGTGATCGATTAGCCCGTGGACGAGTGTCGTGACCCGTGAATTTTCGGTAGATTGAGACCGGAGAGGGAATCGAGGACCCTCTTCGAGCCGAGAACATTTTAGGGACATTGTTGGGTTCGTCTGACTGTATCTAATGTGATGTTTTTCTAGGAGCTCGATAACGTTTACGGAGGGGGATCCAAACGAGCCATTAAACGAGCGGTGTAATAATTCATTGGCTACCTTGTGTACATAGAAATTATATATATATATGATATATATATACACAATATTACATATAACTACAATAATTATTATTATCAATATTTTTATTATTATTATTATTATTATTATTATAATTATTATTATTATTATTATTATTATTTTTATTATACTATCGCATGTACATGTGAATTTTAGGACTGAACGAGGAGGCGCGCAACATCTTTTTTTTTGTTCTTTTCTCTTTTTCATTATTGTGTATGTACGTGCACCGACCGGGGAACGGGGGGACACGATTACCTGTTACGATCGCGATTACCAAACGGATTCATTTCATCTGTCCTTTAGACAGAGACAGACAGACAGGGAGAGAGAGAGATAGAGAGAGAGAGAGAGAGAGAGAGAGAGAGAGAGAGAGAGAGAGAGAGAGAAAGGAACGAAAACATAAACCGGGATGGGGAAAAACGAAACAGAAACCGAAAATCGTAATTATCTGTTTCCTCTCCTGTGTGTGAATCACAGGACTGTTTGTTCGTACACGTACACACACATACACACAATACTACACACAGTACACATCGATACCAGGAAAGCCAGTGTTCGTTATACATTAGTAAGAAATATATAAATCGTTGCGATCGCGCACCCCGTGGACCATTGCCGCGATCGCGAGAGTGGGAACGCTGTGTGTGCGCGCGTGTGTGTGTGTGTGTGTTTGTTTTTCATGGCTGCGTGTACGCTGATGTGCAAACTCGACTTTCTTTAGGGGAAAAAGCAATGTAGGGGTTAAGGCCTCCTACTGCTTGATAAATTTATTTCAAATGCTGAAATAAATGTTAAACGGAATGTTAATTTCGTATAATTTTCAATAACTCCGAGACCAAGTGGTGGGAGGTCTTTCCCTTACATCACTTTTTCCCCTGGCGGAAGTCGAGCTTGCTCGCTGATATAGTGCCTCTCCGAGCTATAGTGACTTTAGGTGTGACCTTCTCAGTGGGTATGCTATGTATGTGATTCCCTTAAGGATACAAGCCGCTAAATGTGTAATTTGTTACTTCTTCAAAAAAGGTGGCCGTCTCTGCATTTACCACCGAAACCCTTAACGACGTAAAAAATCCTAACCTTTGCTGCTTTTACGAAGTCACTATAGCTCGGAGATACACTATACGCGCGTGTCTGCGCGTGATATTTCCCTCTGAGGACATCCCCGAAAATAATCTGAATTCTTTTTTCAGAAACACACCAACCACAGAGTCTCGTACTGAACTCGTTCCACACGCAACAAAATCCGTATTACAGACTGCTCTCGATTATGGTGTGGCTTGTTCTACACGATTATTGTCCAAACGTTATCCCACGCTTTTGTTGGCGAGGCTCGGGCTTCGGTTAAAAAACAATTTCACGAAGGTCTGAAGCATTTCTCCCTATACGATTATTGTCCCGGCGCGAACCCGAGTTCGGGACAATAATCGAGAGGAATCTGTATACGGTTGGTTAGAGGAAAATTCTCGCGCGATAGATGTCGCGCCGAGCCGTGTGTCTCCGCGCGCGTGCGCGCGCAGCTTTTAGTCGGCCGACGGGCAACAAGTTACGATTTTGTGCGTTCGAATCGGACGATTCCGCGTCGGAGGGTGACAAGATGGCGGTGGCAACAAAATGGCGAGCGACGGGATTCGTTCGGTACACGCGCAAACGCAATATCCACTAAGTGTTCAACCGGATTTCGGTGAGGAAAACGAGAGCGTAGACGGAAGAATTGTGGAAGGGGGGGGGGTAGTACGAGTAGAGTCGTGGTATATACAGGCTCGTGCGAATGATAGGTAAATAGAAAAATTGCTCGTTATGAGGAGGAAAATCGAAGGAATTAATGTTTTAACATTTCGACCGTTGATCCCTGTCGTGTGGGAGGGGGGCATCTTAATCTTATTTACTGTACAAATATTCTAGCGGACGCATATCGAAGGAGAACACGCTCCAAAAACGGAATTTCGTTTACGGATTCAACTTTTAACGAACGGTCATACCGGTTACACGGACGCCATTTTTTTTTCTTTTTTTTTTCGAATTGACGCATCTTCCAGCGGCGGACCTGAACGGAAATTCCGGGATAATATCCTGTTCCTTCCAATATTTTTATTTTCATTTCGATATCCCCCCGACTTTTAACGAAAGATCGAAACCGTTTGATGGAAATTACAACCGAACAGTACGTAATCGAATAATTTCGTGCAATGAAAACTAACGAAGAATCGCGGGATTAATTATAATATTGTTAAGCTCCCTTCGGTGATTTCGACGCGCTCGCGCGCGCGCGCGCGCGCGCGGTGATGCGCGATCGCCGAAATCTGATTGTATTAAGCACCCCATATATCCTCGATTACGTTTACCGATCGATCGATATCCGCTGATCTTCTGTAGAGAACATTGAAGTAAATACACGGAGAAAGAAAGAAAGAACGAAAGTGTTTTTTTCTTCACTTAAATATAACATATCTAACTAACATTTCAATTTCGCTCGCGACGACCGATTCATTTTTTTTTTGTTTTCTGTCGGACCGTGTGCGAGCTTGCTTTAACTCTTTAACGCCCACACCCCTAAATTGTTATTTC